GGGTAGGGCCAGCCTGGGCTCGAGGCCGAGGGGCCTGGACGCCCCCCGCCTCCGCGGCGCCGCGGAGCGGACTTGGCGCCGCGGCGGGCCAGCCAGCGAGCGCGGGGGCGGGGCCCTGCAGCCTTGCCCTTCCCCGCCCCCGCTCCCCGGGCCCTGAGCGAAGGTAGCGGAGGGCGCCTGAGCGCCGGGGCCTCTCCTGGCGCGCCTGGCTCTGTGCAGTCCTGGCGTCCGCGGGCGCCCCGCTCCAGCCCGGGGATTTTCTGAGCTGCGCTCTCCTCTCCCCTAGACGGCCTCAGCTGCCCGCGGAGCCGAGCCGAGTCTGCGGTGGTAGAGGCCCGCCTGCGCCCAGGATCTGCACAGCCTGCGTGCGGTCCCGTGAGCTCTTCCCGTCTTTGACCAAAGGCACCATCTCCTCCCCGACCTGATCAGCTCGTCTCGGTGCGGCCTGGGGTCACCCTGTCTCCTCATCCCACCGCCTTCTCTTAGGCCATTTTCACCTCCTTCCCAGGTCCCTACTGTCTCCTGGACACTGTCAAGCCAGCAGCTTGTGAGGAGGCCTGTGGGGTCCCCAGGGGCCCGGCAGGAACTGGGCACTCCAGAGCAAGGGGCTTCAGTGCACAGCTGAGGGGCACCTTCCCCAGCCCTGAGACTTGCCCCTGTCAGTGCCCTGTGGTGATTCGGGGGTGCAGAGGGCTTTGTCACTTGGTTGCTTCTTGGTTACGCTTCCTCCAGGGGCTTGAGCAATGTTGTGGAGACTCAGAACAGAGGGATGCAGTGGGGGATAGAGAACAGCCACAGCCTGGCCGGGGGGCTTCCTAGTGGCTCAGGCAAAGAAGGAAGCTGGCTTGATGTGAGAATCGCAGGGTCCATCCTATTCCAGTCAGCCCAGCTTTGCCCAAAGCCAGTGCCCCCAAAGAAACGTCTCCCCTGGCCATGGAGCAGAGCAGACAGCCTTCTGCCTTCCTGGAGGAGGACGACGACGCGGGGCGGGGCGGGGCAGGCTGTCAGAGGGGGGGAAAAATAATTGTTTCTTGAGGAAATGAGCGCGTTTCCAGGGCGGTGGTGTCTGAGGGGGCCGTAGGGGGCGTGTCAGCTCCTCTGTAGAGGTGCAGCGGCCGTGGGGGGGGGTCTGGGAGGCCACTGCCACCGGCCACCCTCTCACAATCTGTGCCTGAGCCCCTCATGATCCTCTGCCGTTGGGGTCAGTCTCCACTCGGCCACGTGGCATGGACAGCTGCCCTAAATGTCCTGCCGGCCCCCTCAGGGAAGGTTCCGGCGGGTCCAGGAGTGAGGCCTCACGCACAGATTGTGAGAGGGTGGCTGGTGGGGGTGGCGGCCAAGACCACTTAAGGGGATTCTGATCAGGGTCCCGAGGGCGGCAGTCGTGCTGGACCACCCCAAGGTGGGAGGGGCCTCCATGCTGGGGACCCTGAGCCCACCCTTGGCCTTAGTAGCTCGCCCCCATACATCCAGAGACACGCACGGGCGCGGGCACATACGCAGGGACGTGTGTGTGCTCGGATGGACACCCTCACCCTGACGTGACCTGCCCCGGCCCTGCACACAGCACCCCCCGCGGCCTCCGGGGTCCCCCCTCAGAGACCTGGTTCACCCCAGAACCCCCTCCCAGGACCTGCCTCCGGCATGCCTCCGTCTGAGGGTCTGCCCTGGGCGGGGCACAGGCAGGGCGGGTGGATTGCTGGGGTCCTCCTGCTGGTTCATCAGGGGAAGGGGGGTTGGAGGGAGGGTCCGGAAGGCTTGGGGAGAGGGTGGGGAGGCAGGCCCACCAGCGGCTCTGCTGCTTCCTGTCAGATTACACCGTGTATGCCGAGAGTCAGGCATAGAACAGGTGTGTGGCCCACCTGTTTGCATGTTCAGGGCCTGTCGGTCAGCTTGGGTCTGTGCTCTGGAGAGTGTGGTCTGCGGGCGGTGCCTCCCAGACCACCTGGAGCTCTTGGGGTCATGGGGTGTGAGGATGGGCACATGCGTGAGTGTCTGGGAGACTTTCTGGAGGAGGTGCTCTTTTGCCTTGGAGGTGGGCCTGAAGGTGCTTTGGGAACCTGGGGGCAGAGGCCAGGGCGCAGTCCTCTGGGGGTGGCCGCACCCAGGCCTGGAGCTGCAGTGCTGGTGGCCTGGCCCCTCGGCGGCTGGGTTACAGGTGCTCCTTCTTGAGGAGGGCCGGGAGATGATCTCCTTGGAGATGAGAGTGGGTGTGTCTGGCCAGATGGGTGGGAAGGCAGGGAAGGGATCGTGGGCTCGGGCGGGCTGGGCAGGGTCAGGCACCGGGGGCTTCCTGTGGGTGGGATGGGTCCTCCAGGCTGGGGCTCCCCTGACCCTCCTCCCTTCCCGCAGCGTGCCGGGGCCAATGGCGCTGCAGCTCTGGACCCTGACCCTCCTGGGCCTGGCGGGCACAAGTGCGAGCCTGCGGTCCCGCAAGCTGGTCTTCCGCAGCGAAACGGAGCTGAACCACCTGGTGGTGGACGAGGGGTCGGGCGTGGTGTACGTGGGGGCAGTGAACGCGCTCTACCAGCTGAGTGCTGACCTGCAGCTGGAGCAGCGGGCGGCCACGGGCCCAGCCCTGGACAATAAGAAGTGCACGCCGCCCATCGAGGCGAGCCAGTGCCACGAGGCCGTGCAGACTGACAACGTCAACCAGCTCCTGCTGCTCGACGCCCCCCGCAACCGCCTCATCGAGTGCGGCAGCCTCTTCAAGGGCATTTGCGCCCTGCGCTCCCTGAGCAACGTCTCCACGCTCCTCTTCTATGAGGACGGCAGTGGCGAGAAGTCCTTCGTGGCCAGCAACGACGAGAGCGTGGCCACCGTGGGGCTGGTGAGCACTGCGGGCCCAAGCGGTGAGCACGTGCTCTTTGTGGGCAAGGGCAACGGGCCCCACGACAACGGCATCATCGTGAGCACGCGCCTGCTGGACCGGACCGAGGGCAGGGAGGCCTTCGAGGCCTACACGGACCATGCCACCTACAAGGCCGGCTACCTGTCCACAAACACACAGCAGTTCGTGGCCGCCTTCGAGGACGGCCCCTACGTCTTCTTCGTCTTCAACCAGCAGGACAAGCACCCGGCCCGGAACCGCACGCTGCTGGCGCGCATGTGCAAGTACGACCCGTTCTACTACTCCTACCTGGAGGTGGACCTGCGCTGCCTGGGCCCCGGCGACACCCGGGTCCCCGCCTTCGGCACCTGCCTGGCGGCCTCCGTGGCCCGGCCAGGCACCACTGGGGTGCTCTATGCTGTCTTCAGCACAGATGGCCGGGCTGGCGGGGGACCACGGGCGGGCCTCTGCCTGTTCCCACTGGACGAGGTCCACAGCAAGATGGAGGCCAGCCGCGACGCCTGCTACACGGGTGCCCGGGAGGCGGCCCGGGACACCTTCTACAAGCCCTTCCACGGCGAGATCCAGTGTGGCGGCCACGGGTCGGTACGTGGCCTCAGCACGTTCTCCCACGGGCTTAGACCACGCGCGTGTGGGTCCGCGCGTGACACTGCTTGCTGTGTCCACGTCCCACATGCTTGTGAAGGCCGTGTGTGTGTGTGTGTGCACGCGCGCGTGTGTGTGTGGTGTCCCTGCGGACAGGTGAGTGTGAGATGTGGCTGCCACTTCTCCCAGGTGTCAGCCACGCTGGGCGTTGGGTTTTGGAGCAGTGAGCACGTGGGTAGGGGCCCTGCCTGCCTGGGCCGGCCGGTCCTGGGGGACGTGTGCAGGGCCACGAGTGCTGGGAGCCGTGGTGGAGAGAGGCCTCGGGCGGGGGTCTGCACCCACCGTTGACGCCATGGTCCATAGGGTGCCAGCGAGAGTTTCCCGTGTGGCTCGGAGCACCTGCCCTACCCGCTGGGCAGCCGAGACGGACTCTCAGCCGTAGCCGTGCTGCACCGTGGAGGCCTGAACCTGACGGCTGTGACAGTGACGACCGAGAATGGCCACACCATCGCCTTCCTGGGCACCTCGGACGGCCGGGTCCTCAAGGTGAGGCCCAGGGCCGGGGCAGGGTGGTTTCCGGAGGGGTCCTCAGTGCACGAGGCTCCCTCCCCTCACCGTGCACCTGCCCTCGTGCCCACAGGTGTACCTCGCTCCAGATGGCAGCTCCGCAGAGTATGGCTCTGTCCTTCTGGAGATCAACAAGAGAATCAAGAGGGACCTGGTGCTGGCCGCAGACCTGGCCAGTCTGTACGCCATGACCCAGGACAAGGTTGGCCTGTGGAGCCTGGGAGGAGGGGCCTTGGTGGTCCAGCCCCTAGAGACACGCAGAGCATGCTGGGAGGGGGGCCAACTCTCATCTCCCTGGGTCCTGACAGTGTCTCTCGAGCACCTGTCCCATCTTTGAAACCGTTTCTCTCTGTTCTGTGTCTCCGGCCTGGCCTTGGGCCCCTCCTGACCAGAGGGTCAGTGCTCTCAGTGGGCCTTCCCCAAGTGCAGACAGGGAGGCGCGGGGCCCCAGGCAGCTTCTGTGAGCTCAGACGGTGGGGGACATGGGCCCCGGGATCCTGCACCACCCGATCCTGGGTCAGGTCCAGCCTCCCGGCCGGGTCCCACAAAGCCCGGCCAGCAGCTGCTGCCTGGAGCCCTCACCGCCCAGCCTCGAGTTGTGTTGAGGCTTCTAAGGCTTAGCGGTAAAGGTGGCATCAAGCTGGTGGTCCCAGGAAAGTCTGGCGTCTGAGCGAGGTCCTTTGTGGCTGCTGGCCCGACACCTGTGGCGGCCGTAGTCCCGCTCACCGCCCCGGTGCCCCCAGGTGTTCCGGCTCCCCGTGCAGGAGTGTGAGAGCTTTTCCACCTGCGCCCAGTGCCGCAGCTCACAGGACCCCTACTGCGGCTGGTGCGTCGTCGAGGGACGGTGAGCATCCGGGGGTCTGGGGGGCTCGGCCCAGCCTGGGTCCAGGGGTGCCGCCCCACCCTGAGGGCTCACGGGTGCCCCCTGCCCCTGCAGATGCACCAGGAGGGCCGAGTGCCCGCGGGCTGAAGAGAGTGGCCACTGGCTGTGGAGCCGCAGTGAGGCCTGCGTGGCCGTCACCGAGGCCCAGCCGCAGAACATGAGCCGCCGGGCCCAGGGAGAGGTGTGTGGTGAGGGTGGAGGCAGGGGCGCTGCTGGCCTGGGGCTGTGGGGACGGCAGGAGACCCGCGTAGTATCTTGCTCCTGGCCTGGACAGCGGTGCTGAGCCTGGGGACAGGGACCCCATCCTTAGTTGGGTCCCCTGGCCCCCTTGATCCGAGGGGCTTCTGAGAATCCAGGGCAGACCCAGGCCCTGTCCCAGGAGAGGCTTAGGTGACCACAGAGGGGCCCATTCAGATGAAATGGAGCCAGGTTCTAGAGGGTTCTCCAGGGGGCGGGTGTACACATACAGGGGGGCGGCCGGAGAACGGCCAGAGGACCGGGGCTCAGGGCAGGGGCGGGAGGTTGCCCGCACCCTGAGGCTGGGCAGAGGAGTCCTGCTGTGAGCTGAGTGGCCCTTCCGCAGGTGCACCTGACCGTCAGTCCCCTCCCGGCCCTGAGTGAGGAGGACAAGCTGCTGTGCCTCTTTGGTGAATCACCGCCGCACGTGGCGAGCATGCAAGGGGGCGCCGTGGTCTGCAACTCCCCGAGCAGCATCCCCAGCACGCCGCCTGGCCAGGGTGAGGCCCCGCCCGAGCCTGTCCCCTGAGCATTCGGGGCCAGCGGAGGACGGCTCACTGGTGAAGGTGGGGGGCCCGCGGTGACATGGCTGCGACCTGGCAGGCGCTCTGCCCCAGACGCCCAGGAACCACGGCCTTCGGTGCCTGCAGGGACAGCGAGGGCCCAGCAGCGCAGAGCCCTGGGGAGCGACACACGAGCCGCGATCTGATAGCGGCCGCGGGTCCTGCTGAGCCCTGCGGGGGCCCCACTCAGACCAGGGTCTCCACACGTGGCCTCCCGTTCTCTGCTGGGTCGCTGTGGGGAGCTCGGATGGAAGGGGGAGTTGGGGCCGGGGGGCCCAGTTCCGGCTTCCTGCTCCCCCCCCCGGCCCGAGCCCGCCTCCCGCTGCGCCCTGCGGCCCCGCCTGACGCGGGCCCCATCTGCTGTCCACAGATCACGTGGCTGTGACCATCCGGCTTCTCTTCAAACGCGGCGACGTCTTCCTGACCTCCCACCTGTACCCCTTCTACGACTGCCGAGCGGCCACGAGCCTGGAGGAGAGGCTGCCGTGAGTGCCCCTGCCCGCCGCTCACGGCCCCCCGCGGGCCCCGCGCTTCTCACCACCCTCTCCTCCAGGTGCATCTCCTGCGCCAGCAACCGCTGGACCTGCCAGTGGGACCTGCGCTACCACGAGTGTCGGGAGGCCTCGCCCAACCCTGAGGACGGCATCGTCCGTGCCCGCATGGTGAGGGGCCGTGAGGGCACGTGGGGGCCAGGCTGCTCGGCCGAGGCCAGGCAGCACCTGACCAGCCCTGCCCCCCCAGGAGGACGACTGCCCCCAGTTCCTGAACCCCAGCCCGCTGGTCATTCCCATGAACCACGAGACGGCTGTGACCTTCCAGGGCAAGAACCTGGACACGGTGAAGGTGCGGGGGGCCTGTGGGGCCCTGGCTAACCGGTGAGGTCAGGCCTGGGGGGTCCCAGCAGGGGCCGTGATGGCTGGTGGAGAGGCATAGGCTTGTTCAGAGCCGTCCTCCTGCAGACCAGAAGCTGAGCGCCGGGGCCCATCCAGCCTTCTGCGGCTCAGGGCCCAGCACGTGAAGGAGGCAGAGGGGTCAGGGTGGACGTGGGGACATCTGGATGGGCCTCGAGGGTTTAGGGCGTGCAGGGGCTGGGCAGCCGAGTGCCACTCAGGAGGGAGCAGGACGGTGAGTCTGGGTGTTGACTGTGGCGGGGCCTGTCTGTGAGCGGCCGGGTGTCAGTCGGGATGGGGGTGCCCAAGCTGGCCCGGGAGCTGTGTGGGGCACGGCAGGCCCCGGGGCCCAGGGCCGGCATGTGGGACGGGCTGGCCCGCCTCGGGTATCCTGACTGGCCTGTCTGGCAGGGCTCCTCCCTGCGCGTGGGCAGTGACCTGCTCAAGTTTGAGGAGCCAGTCAGCACACAGGAGCAAGGAAACTTCTCCTTTCGGACCCCAAAGGTACGCCTCCCGGGGTGGGCGGGCCAGGCTGGTGGACCCCGAGGGCTGGCCCTGCGGGGGCTGCCCAGTTACCTCCGGGGCTTGAGGGGTGGGGCGGGGGCAGGCTCACCAGCTGCCCTTCTGGGGAAGCAGGGCCGGCAGGCAGGTGTGGCCTCAGAGCATCCCTGGGCCTCCTGTCTCCCTGGAATCCAAGTCATCCTCCGTCTCCGAGCCTCCAGCTTCTAGCCACCTGGAGGCCTCCCCTTGCTGCCCGTCCGCTGTGAGGGGACACACAGTGGTCACCCTCGGGGGCTTGGGTGGGAGGCGGGGGTGCAGCGTGTCCCTGTGTGCCCCCAGCTCTCCCACGATGCCAACGAGACGCTGCCCCTGCATCTGTATGTCAAGTCCTACGGCAAGAATATTGACAGCCGGCTCCAAGGTGGGTGGGGTGGGCAGCTGGGCCGGTGGGCGGGCAAGGGGAGCAGGGCGGCCCTGCCGACGGCCAGCTTCTCCCTCCGCAGTGACCCTCTACAACTGCTCCTTCGGCCGCAGCGACTGCAGCCTGTGCCTGGCCGCTGACCCTGCCTACAAGTGCGTGTGGTGCAGCGGGCAGAGCAGGTGTGTGTACGCGGCCCTGTGTGGTAACGCCACCTCCGAGTGCCCACCGCCCGTCATCACCAGGGTAAGCCCCCTTATCCCCCACCTCCCTGACAGGAGGGACTCCAGCCCGGCCCGGGACCAGCTGCGCAGCCTGGCCTTCCCAAGCCACCAGGTCAGCCGGGCTCTGCCAATTTCAGATCCAGCCTGAGACTGGTCCGCTCGGCGGAGGCATTCGCGTCACCATCCTTGGGTCAAATCTGGGGGTCAGAGCAGACGACGTGAAGGGGGTCACCGTGGCTGGCCGGAACTGTGCCTTTGAGCCAGAACGCTACTCTGTGTCCACCCGGTGAGTGGGCAGCCTGGGCCCTCCGAGCTGGGCCAGGCCCTACGCTGGGGGGCCGGGGGACTGGGGGGATGGAGAGAAAGGACACGGCCCAGGTACGCGTGGGTGCCCAGGGCTTGCCACCCACAGTGTGCCCACCTGCTTGCCACCCACGCAGGATCGTGTGCACCATCGAGGCTGCAGAGGCGCCCTTCACGGGGGGCGTCGAGGTGGACGTCAGCGGGAAGCTCGGCCACTCGCCTCCGCACGTCCAATTCACCTACCAGGTAAGCACCCGGCAGGTGGCTCTTGCAGGTCAGGACAAGTGTGGGTGGGATCTGGGGGGCCGTGCGCTGACTCGGGGTGAGGCGAGGCTGTGCCCCTGCCTCTTTCTGACGACGGTCATGGCCCAGTCGAGGCCCGGGAGGGAGGGCCGCAGCCCTGCCGCCCCAGCCCTGAGTCAAACGCCCCTGCTTCTCTTCCAGCAGCCCCAGCCCCTCAGTGTGGAGCCAAAGCAGGGGCCACAGGCGGGCGGCACCACGTTGACCATCAATGGCACCCACCTGGACACAGGCTCTGAGGAAGACATGCGGGTGACCCTCAGTGACATCCCTTGTAAAGTGTGGGTGTCACCCACAGGCCACCAAATCCTGGTCTGCCCTGGTCCTGGGGACAGGGTGAGGGCCCTCTGGCCGTGACCCTGTGTCTATCCTGGAGGGGGGCAGTGGAACCAACCAGACCCACTGACCCACTGGCCCGGGGCTGCGGGTGGTCCCAGGGTGGGGTTGACATTGACTGGCAATCCCCACCCCCAGGATGCAGTTTGGGGCACAGCTTCAGTGTGTCACCGGCCCCCAGGCAGTTCCGGGAGAGCTGCCCCTAAAGATTTACTATGGGGGCTCCGAAGTGCCCAGCCCTGGCGTCACCTTCACCTACCGTGAGAACCCGGTCCTGCGGGCCTTCGAGCCGCTGCGAAGCTTTGTCAGGTGAGACCTCTCCCCCCGCCGTGGCAGGGGGCCCCC